AACTACCATATGACTCAGCAATCCCACCACTGGGCATGTACCCTGAGGAGACCACAATTCAAAAAAAAACACTTGCACCCTAATGTTCCCATTGCAACACTATTTATAATAGCCAGGACATAAAAGAAACCTAGATGTTCATTGACAGATGAATGAATAAAGAATTTGTGATACATTTATATAATGGAATATTACTCAGCCATATAAAGGAAAGAATTTTAGTCAGTTGTAGTGAATTGGGTGAAAATAAGCCTGTTTTGGGCTTCCCAGGTAGTGCTAGTAAAGAACCCGCCTGTAAATAAATACAGGAGACGTAAAAGATGTGGGTTCAATCCCTGGTTTGGGAAGATCCCCTGGAGAAGGTCATGGCAACCCACTCCAGTATTCTTGCCTGGAGAATCCCATGGACAGAGGAGTCTGATGGACTATATACAGTCCGTAGTGTTGCAAAGAGTCAGACACAACCGAAGTGACTTAGTACACAGCACAGAGCTTGTTACACAGAGTGAAGTAAGTCAGAAAGAAAAAAACAAATGTGGGCTATTAAAGCATATATATGGAATCTAGAAAAATGGTAGTGATGAACCTATTTTCAGGGAAGGAATGGAGACACAGAGAGAACGGACTTGTGGACATGGTGGGGAAGGTGGGGGATGAAGTATGAAAGTAAGCCCTGATATATATACACTACTATATGTAAAATAGATAGCTGGTGGAAGCTGCTATGTAATACAGAGAGCCCGGACTGGTGCTCTGTGATGACCTAGAGGGGCAGGATGGGGGTGGGGTGGGTGGAAGGGAGGCTTAAGAGGGAGGGTATATATATATAGTTTTGACTGGTTTGTAAAGTTGTATGGCAGAAACCAACACAACACTGTAAAGCAATTATCCTCCAATCAAAAAAAAAAAGAAAAGAAAAAATAGCAATTTCTATATTAAAGAAACTAACATTTCAACAAATATGTATCTAGTGAATTGATTTCTTTTCACCTGTGAAACAACGGTTGAAGAATAAGAGGGGACGGAAAAGCAGATATGCCAATGATAGAGAGGCAGTAGTGAGTCCAGGAGTCCTGGCAGCAAAGAGAAAGAAAGACTTTTGGTACTTTGAGATAAAGCTCTCTTATGGAGCCTTTATACAGGGAACAATGAATGCTAATACTTTCTGTGTTTTAACTCATTTAGGAGAACTCTGTGAATTATAAAGCCATAAAACACTATATGAAGACGAAACAATCATAAACTATTACAGCTTCCTATGGTGGCTCAGTGGTAATGAATCCGCCTGCCAGTGCAGGAGACCCGGGTTCGATCCCTGGTTTGGGAAGATTGCCTAGAGAAGGAAATGGCAACTCACTCCAGTATTCTTGTCTGGGGAATCGCATGGACAGAACAGCCTGGCAGGCTACCTTCCCTGGGGTCACAAAAGAGTTGGACGCGACTTAGCAACTAAACAACAAATATATTTCAGAAGAGAGCCACAATCCCAATTTTTAACTCCCTGATGTCATCAATAAACTCATACATAAGTATCTAAATAAAACGCTTGCTTGAGATTAAATAGCTTCTAGAAATATAAAGTCTGAAGTAAGAGTACATCATGAGAAATGTTGGGCTGGATGGAGCACAAGCTGGAATCAAAGATTGCCGGGAGAAATACCAATAACCTCATTTAGGTAGATGACACCACCCTTATGGCAGAAAGTGAAGAAGAACTAAGGAGCTTCTTGATGAAAGAGAAAGAGGAGAGTGAAAATATTGGCTGAAAACTCAGCATTCAGAAAACTAAGATCATGGCATCCAGTCCCATCACTTTGTGGCAAATAGATGAGGAAACAGTGGAAACAGTGACAGGCTTTGTGTTCTTGGGCTCCAAAATCACTGCAGATGGTGACTGCAGCCATGAAATTAAAAGACTCTGGCTCCTTGGAAGAAAAGCTATGACCAACCTAGACAGCATATTAAAAAGCAGAGACATTACTTTGCCAACAAATGCCCATCTAGTCAAAGCTATGGTTTTTCCAGTAGTTTAGTATGTAAACCTCTTTCCCTTTTATATTCTCCAACAGAAATCTGAGGCCTAGATTATCATTCAGAGAGATATGTAGCTAAATAGACTTTCTCTCTAGCTAGTGATTTTGAAACTAACTCCATGCAGAGAATAAATCTCTAATAGAACAAACTCAACTTTTATCTGTTCCTTTTTAAATAGTCCACTAGACCCTTTGAATTGGAAAGACCTTCCCTGACTTGAGGTCCCACTCACATCTTACAAGTAACCTAGAAGTGGAGTTTTTAAGGATTCCCTTACTCCTTAATAGGGCTTTCCTGATAGTGCAGCTGGTAAAGAATCCGCCTGCAATGCAGGAGACCCGGGTTGAATTCCTGGGTCGGGAAGATCCACTGGAGAGGGATAGGCTACCCACTCCAATATTCTTGGGCTTCCCTTGTGGCTCAGCTGGTAAGAATCTGCTGGCAATGCGGGAGACCTGGGTTCTATCCCCAGGTTGGGGAGATCGCCTGGAGAAGGGAAAGGCTACGCACTCCAGTATTCTGGCCTGGAGAATTCCATGGAAAGAGTTCCATTCCTTTCATTTCTAAAAAGCAACAGTAAATAATGAAGTATTTCAAATAAGGTTTCTGTGAGAAACATAAACACAAATAAAAACTACCTGCCACTTACTCTGGAATGTGTAAAATGACTGCTTGTAATAGCACTGTATTTGAATAAGTCATACTGTCACAGTGACCTTTACTGATACACTATTTCCCAATATAAAGCATCAATCCTGCTGCTTAAAAGATCTTTTTTGTGCAAGACCTGCAGATATATCAGGTAACAAAATAATGATTTGCTATCTGTATAGTCCATGGGGTTGCAGAGAGTCATACATGACTGAATGACTTTCACTTTCACTTTACTCCTTAATTCATTCCACAGATATATACAGAGAACTTCCTATGTTCTGGACTGTTCTTTCAGGACACAGAATAGGATGTGCCCCTCTAAACACTCCAATTGTGTTCTTGTGTAAAGGAATAACTGAAACAAAGTGTCATGGGGCCTGGCCCCACCTCGCAGAATCTAAAGGGGGCTAAGAAAGGGAGGGGCCAATTCTTTATGTGTAGTCCAGAAAGTCTTCCAGAGGATATAACACCTAAGCGCATGCATTAACCATGACTGGATCAGGAGGTCAAAGGAGATTTCCAAATAGAAATTGAGCAGAATCTTGGAAACCTGGGCAATTTTGCAGTAGTTCATCACAATGAGAGAGCAGCAAGGGAAGGGAACCTAGAGAACCAAGCACTGGCCTGTCAGTGAGTCTACCAGGAAATGAAACATTACATGTCTGCTCACATTTACTTAAAAGTTACATCACCATACCTAATTTCAGTGGGGTGGAGAGTATAATCCTCCCCTACACCTAAACCCAGAAAGAGGACAGGGAAAATTGGTAAGCACTCAAAATGCCTTCAGCAGTCATGAAATGTTATGGTACTGTTTTACGGTTCAGGTTAGTCTAATGGAGTATACTAGCATGTCATAAATTAAGGTTGAAACTAACTAAAGTTTATTCTTCATCCAGCGATTGGAAGTTACTTATCTGATTCATGAAACTGTTTAACCTGTGCCATTTAAAGACTAAAATTCAGATGGATTTAAATGGAGTGATTTGATTAATATTAATATCCAAGAAAATATTGAAAAGCAAATTTTTCTGGTATGGTTCTGATATTGTAATCCACATAAGCTACTTTTCCCCCCTTTTTATAATCAGAGATACACTGAAAGGCATATATCATGCACAGGAGTGAATAAATATTAAATTAATGCCTCTCCATAGAGACAAAAGGCATACTACTAGATATTTAGTATGTTACTTAGTTTCAGCAATCTTTGTATCAATCACTGTAGTTCCAGCTACAATGGGTATATAACTGAGAGAACATTTAGTCAAGCAATGGTTCTAAGTATCAACCTAATTTTTACCACCTTCCAAATGTTATTGTATCAATAGGGTGAAATGGCTAACACAGATGTACTACACGATGCTGATACCACAATACAGGCCTCATTTACGACCTTCTTTCACCTAACCTCTCTACTACAGTTGATGGATATACTTTAAACTGTAAAGTTACTTTCTTAATTAATTCACATTTTTCGGAATGCAAACTTTCGGGCCCATCAGAATTGGTTTGCACTTTACAAACCTGGCAGGCACGCATGATAGCACACAGGAATTGCAAATACTTGTTTGTCAGGTGTAAAGAATCCCGTAAAGAGCATGCACGTGGGAACGAAAACGTATACACAAGTACACGGTTGTGTCTATGGGAGTCCTTTCTTCCCATAAAACTTTCAAGAGGTGAATAAAACCTGTCATACGATTCTTACTTTATAGATCGTTATTAGACATAATATTGTCTGGTCCTCATGTCACAGTTGTTAAAAGCTTAAAAATAAAAAAGAAGGGAAAAAATGCCTCTGAAGACAGGACAAGCTTAAACCCGCCACCAATTAGAAAGATCACAGTGTCATAGGTATGCTTTTAACAGGATAGCAACCTCAGAGGTCAAATTGGGGGGGGGGAAAAAGAAAGCACCCTGGACGGAGGTCATACTGCAGGGAGGGCAAGCTGCAGGCCCCATCCTGCGGGTTTCTCCTGGTACTTCCGCAGCCCCCAGGTTCTTCGCGCCGGTCCCCGCAAGGGGGTACGTTCCCTTCCTCCCCACCTGTCCGGCTGGGCTTCCCGAAACGATGCCCTAGCGGTGGGAGTGAGAACACGCCGCGCAGGAGCCTCCTTTCGGTTCGGCTTCCCCAGCTGGACCCCGAAGCCCTGGGGGAAGGAAATTACCACTCAGTGCTCTCCCACCCCCGCCCCGTTCCTCTCTCCGGCTCGCTGCCTGTCTCGCTTTGATGCCGCCGAACCCCATCGCCACTTCTGGGCGGCCATCAGGCGGAGGCGGCTGCGAGCTCCCGGGCTCCACGGAGGGAGATGGGGCAGGGTGAGTAAGCCGGCCCGGGGAGAGGATCCGGAGCACCCGCCCATGGGCAGAGGAGGCGCTGTCTGGCCCGGCCCGCGCGGGGCAGAGCCTGGGAGAGGCTTGCCGCTCTCCCCTTCCTCCCAGTCCCGGCTGGGAGCCGAACGCGAGCGCGCCGGCCGGGGGAGGGAAGAGTGGGAGAGGAAGCCGCGGGAGAGAACAGGGAGCCACTGTCTCCTTTTGAAAAGAAAGTAGGAACCCTGGGTGGGAAAAAACAAAGGCGCCCTCCCAACTTTTCTTCGCGCAAAGTTTTCCCAGGGCGTTTTGTTTGTGAGAACTCGGCCGGCGGAGCCCGGGATCGCGCTGCCGGCGTGGCGGCTGTGCCTGTGCGCCTCGCCCCGCTCCTCCTCCTTCCAGCCTGGGCAGCTCCGCTCCCTCCCCGGGAGGCGCCAAATGGCTACCCAGTCACCTCGCGGGGCGGGGGCTGCAGCGCCGCCTCCTGCCGCCGCCGCTCCGGGCGGCCGCTAGACCCGGCGGCGGCGCTGCCCGCGGACGGGGAGCCGGGCCCGCAGGTGGAAGCGCACCCTGGAGGCGGACGGGCGGGTCCCGGGCTGGGGGCGGCTCGGGCGGGCTCTTGACGTGCGGCCAGCCCCGCTCGGGCCTCGGGTAAACGTGCGTCCCGCCCTGACCCGCCGGCCTCTCCCACTCCAGCAGTGACGCGCTGCCTCGGAGCCAGAGCCCGCGCAGCGCCCCGCAAGGCGATGGACGGCCGAGCCCCGCGCGTGCAGAACGCTCCGGCGGCGCTCCCGCCGGCCGCACCCACAGGGTAAGCTTCGAGCGCCGCGCCGCCCCTCACTCGGGAGGTCGAGAGTTGCCGGGCCTTCACCCGTCACCTGGCTGGCAGCTCGCCGCCCCGTCGGCGGCCGAATTCACCAGCCGCGGGACACGCGGCCGACGGGGCTGCTTCCTCCCGGCCTCCTCGGAGGCCGCCCCGGGGTGGGGGCTCGGTGGTTTTTGATTGCTTTCCTACCGGGTTGCTCTGAGTTGCTAAAGGGCAGCTGAATGCCAAGAATTGGGTAAGGACTCCGGGAGCAAAAATGGTAACAAAGGGCTCCTTGTCGGGGCTCTGGGAGACCAGAGGACGGTACCTGTAAGTGAGCTGCTGAGAAAGGGAAAAAAGTTTCCTTGGCCGAGGGCTGAGGCTCAGCAGGTGAGCCGTGTCAAGGTGACTGTAAGGAGGAGGCTTTCCGCGGGCGGGTGGAGGGCGACAGGAAGGTGTGCCAGCTGTCAGCCCGCAGTGACAGTTCCGGGACCCGGCCGGGTGCGCGCCTCCGATTGGGGGTGTGTGTGCTGTGGCCAATTGCCAGTGCCAAAGCCTAGCGCAGAGTCAGACCGCAAACACGGTGCATTTCTTTGTACCCTCACATGTTTAGGAGAGATTGGAATGGAAGGGGCTGTCACATGGTGAGTTAATATTCAGTGGAGCACGTCTTCCTGCCAGATATGCTAATAATCACCTTGCTAAGCGTTTGGGTAAACAGTCATGAGAACAGGTAGTTCTCCAAGAGGTGGGGAGAATCTGAAAATAACCTTCGTCTTGGTAAACAGTGAAGGCTTTACATGGGAGCTAGTTGAACTTCTGAAGCGGGATATCCCTTTGGGAAAGTGTAACATTTTCCTTCAAGTGTTCCCCCAATTCAGTTTCTTTTCCTATAGTTAATCGGAACACAGCAGTGCTCTCAAGAGACTATGAACATTCAGGAAAGAATCGGTAAGGAAAAGTCTGTTTTATAGCTAATGAATGAGAGTTGCACAGTTGTCTTGATTTGAGAGTAGAAAAGTCATTTTTTACCCCGGAACATGACACACGTTTCCTTAGAAGCAAGTCGCAGCAAGTTTATTCATCAGAGACCATTCGAACATTGGCAGTTGTCTAGAGGAAACATGGAAAAGTCTCAAAGCAGCATGACTAATATAAAAGATATTTAGTATAATGCTTACGTAGAGGAAACATGCAGTGTATGAATTAATTCTTTTTCTTCCAATTAGTTATCTTCTCCCCTCTGCAAATAGCTGTATTTCTGTTGACTTCCGTTCCTATTCTTTACCCAGTTTTTTCATTATTTAGATATAATCATATATATTCTTTCATATATTTCATAATATATATAATGTATGGAGAAAGAAGTAAATTGGCAGGAAGATATTAATCATAAAAGCATGAACCTCTAAAGGGAGCTTCAGGAATACTGAAAGGTATTCAGGTATCTCAAAATAAAATAGTATTACATTGGTGGATTTGACAGTGGATTAGAGTAAGCTACTATTTGGGCTTCCTCCATGCCTCAGTGGTAAAGAACAATGTAGGAGACAGGAGTGGAGGGTTGGATCCCTGACTCAGGAAAGCTCCCCTGGAAGAGGAAATGGCAACTCACTCCAATATTCTTGCCCGGAAAATCCCATGGACAGAGGAGCCTGGCAGACTACAGTCCATAGGGTTGCAGAGAGTCCAACATCACTGAACACACACACACAGATACTATTAAAAAAAAAAAAGAACCCAGCATATGCACATACACAAAATACACTAGTATACTTTTATGGGTGTTCAGAAGTCAAATAATTCTGTGAGTAAAATAGGCGAGGTCAGATGCCTCTTACATAAAGGAAATGAGAAGAGCTTTCTAATGATAAGCACGACTATAGTAAGACACTTCAGATTTTACTTTTGAGGATTTAAAGGTTAAACTGAAATTCTGTGCTTCAAAAGAATGTATAAAATTGCTTTATCTAATTTCTGAAATATGAAGAAAATACATTTTAGAAAATTTGCCCTGCCCTCTCCAAATTTAAGAAGAGATAAGTTGAAAAATGCTTCAACATCTTATCTAAAATAGCATCCCCTCCCCCGTACCATTTTACTGTATTTTGGAGAAGTTAACAATATTTAAAAGGTATAAATGTTGAAAAAAATATTACTTCTCTGCTTTCAGTTGTTTGTCTTGTCCCTGCGTGTATTCCAAGTGCCTGTTATGTACTATTGGTTGACTATTCATTATTCAATATTACTTTTGTTCTTTTTCTCAAAACCCCAGTATGTTAAAAAGGTTTTAATTCTGAGGGAAAAAAAGCAATTATTATAGAGATGGACAGTTCTTTGGGAGGTGGTAGGGCCAATCTATATGTTATAATAAATGTTAGGTTTGAAAGTACATTCTTTACTAATTAAATCATGACTCCAGTAATTTATGAGGCCTAGCTTAGTCCTTAACTTATGAGGCTTAGCTTAGGCCTTACCGGCTTCCCTGGTGGCTCAGGCTGTAAAGCGCCTGCCTGCAATGTTGGAGACCTGGGTTCGATACCTGGGTTCGATCCCTGGTTTGGGAAGATCCCCTGGAGAAGGAAATGGCAACCCACTCCAGTACTCTTGCCTGGAAAATTCCATGGATTGAGGAGCTTGGTAGGCTACAATCCATGGGGTCCCAAAGATTTGGACACGGCTGAGCGACTTCACTTCACGTCTTAGTCCTTATTCTTGAATATTGCTGCCCTAAAGAATGCTTCTGTATGTACTTTTCCAAGTTTTAGATCCTTGTAATATGTCATTTTATAGAAATTTAATGCAACTCCTTATTTTACAAATGAGAATCTGAAGCACAGAGACAGTGATTTTTGAAGGCCCAGAGCAAATTAATGGCAAAACCGGAAGGAAAACCCAGGGTGTTAGTCGCCTAGTTCATTGCATTAATTGCTTTTAATCTTTTTCAGATCACAATATGATAACAGTTCAGCTGGATGCATTATCTTTAGAGCTGCTAGTGCTGGTGATTTTACTTGCCAAAGTGGATAGATATTTTTAACTCTTTGAAATTTAAATGTCAAAAGTTGACCTTGCTTTGAGGGACCTTATTGGTGTTTTGATTCTGAAACAAGTTTTTAAGCATGGCATATTTGCATATTTCTTTATTGACTTGCAGCATTGGAACTATGGAGCTAATTGAAGGCATAGTAAAAAATTAAGAAATGATTTAGCAGCTGCTTCCTTTAGCTTTTATTTGGAGGCATCTTTGGTTTGAAAGTTTTACTTTTGATTGTTTAAACAGGTCTTGTTAGCTAACATGTATTAACTACTTAGAAGCTGAATGCCTTAGCAAAGGTTTCAACATAATCACCTAGGTATCTTTAAAACAGGTACACATGCTCTCACACTCTTACCTATCCTAATTTTAATTGATCTGGGAGGGGAGCAGAGCATGGGTGTTTCTAATATGCATCCAGATCTGAGAATCATTGATTAAGCAGGTATCACCAGCTGAGATAGAGATGAAACCATAAATGGAATGGAGGCTGCCATTAATCATTTTTAGTGAACTTAAGACCCTAGCGTTCAGCTTTCTTTTTACTTTTTGAAAGATTCCATTTAGATGCTCTATAGTATTGTTTAATTTTAATTTTCTTTTACTTTTTGAGGAAGTATATTAACTCCATTTTAGGATTTTGTATCTGGGGCTCAGATAATTAACATATGCAGAGCTATACAATGCTAAGATATGCACGAGTAATAAAAACAAGGTCTGAGCCCCAAAGCTATGCTCTTCATCCCTAGGCCTGTTAGCCAGGATGTTTGCTACCATGGATGATACTGAATGGATTATTTAAAGTGGCCTTATGCAAACGTCTTGAAATTACATTTGTAGTCTGTTTAAAAAAAAAAATCCTACAAAATTGAATGCATATGAAAAAACCCAAAGCCTACCATTTAAAAGGAACTTAAAATTTTGGTTTATATCTTTAAAGTCATATTTAACATTTTCATGTGTTTGGGATGATTTATCTCATAGTATATTGACACCTTTCTTTTTGTCAGATGACAGATATATCATAGCTATACTTATTTTTGCTCTTAGGCAGCAATTAAATTTATTATAGCATAGTTTCAAATGTAGGGTTTTTGACCAAATAAGAAAAATAAAAGTGTTTTTTAAGACACTGCTAGACATTTTTTTCAAAGTCTATAATTTTCTCTGAATGTATTAGATGGTAATTTAATACCATTATCACTTAACCTTATTATTGAAATGCCAGTTGTATTTATATAATAAATTTCAAGCTTCATGTCATTGAGACAACTGCTCTAATGCAATTAATTAGTCAAAACTTGTGAGCCCTTATTTTACATTAAACACATTTTTCTGGGCACGGGGAGACTGGCTCCTGATCCAAAGAGCTTTACTAAAAAACTGTTTGTAACTCTGCAGGGAAAAAAGGAAAGTGCTGTTAGTGTAGAACTGGTACTTTGATATTAACTTTAAAAGCATACTGTGGATATGCTTAGGATTTAAAATATAATGTCATGGTTCATTGGTCAGCAGACTTTGTTCAGAGGGTTGAAATGGGCCCTCTATCTGTTTGTCTTATGTTTTCCTCTTTTTTTTTTTATTGTGGAGTAATACACACAAAATTTACCATCTTAACTATTTTTAAGTGTACAGTTCAGTATTAGGTACATACATATTGTGCAACTGTTATCATCATCTATCTCCAGAACTCTTTTCATCTTACATAATTGAAACTCTATACCCTTTGAACACTAACCCCCCATTTCTCCTCTCCCCACCACTCCTGACATCTGCTATTCCTCTTTCTTTCTCCATGATTTTTGACCACTCTGATTACCTTACATCAGTGGAATCAAGCAATCTTTGTCTTTTTGTGACTGGCATACTTCACATATTATAATATTCTCAAGATTCATCCATGTTGTATCATATGTCAGAATTTCCTTCCTTTTTGAGACTGAATAGCAATGTACTTTTATGCATTTAT